GCTGGGCATTCATACGAAAGAATCAGGCTCCTTGTGGTTTATTTGGGACCTGGGTGGCAGGCCCCCAAAAGAGTAAAAGAGTTTAAAACAGAAGCAACTATAACAACTGGTTGGTTTGGTTGAGTTTCAATGGTTCAGTCCATTATCGTGACAGGTAGCTCAGTGGCATGCGGGCAGACATGGAGTTGGAGTAGTAACTGAGAGTTTTATACCTTGTAGGCAACAGCAAGTCAACTGGGACACTGAGCAGTACCCTGAACTTCGGAAACTTCAAATGCCACCCCGACAGTAAAGCACATCCTCCAACACTCCCTTCCAGCTCCACACCCACTCCAACAAAATCACACCTCCTAATAGTGCTGCTCTGTATGAGATTATGGGGGCCAATTACAAACCACCACAAGTGTATTCACTGAGCTTGCTAATACTCGAACAATGAAATAGAAATATTTGACAGTGGACTGGCTAGTTCTCTGTCAGATTGACAGAAGCTAGAGTCATTGAAGAGAAGGAGCATCAGTTGAGAAAATGCCTTCAAAAGATCTGGCTGTAAGGCAGTTTCTTAATTAGTGACTAATTTGGGAAGGCCCAGCCCATTGTGGCTGGTATCATCCCTAGACCGGCAGTCCTGGGTTCTAGTAGAAAGCAGGCTGTGCAAGCCAGTAAACAGCACCCCTTCATGGCCTCTGCATCAGCTCCTGCCTCCAAGTTCCTGTCCTTGAGTTACTGCCCTCACTGCTTTTGATGAAGAACTGTTCTATAGACATATGAGGGAAATAAGCCCTCTTCTCACCAGGTTGTTTTTGGTCATTGTGTTTCATCACAACAATAGTAAGCCTAACGAAAACAAGTTGGTACCATCCTAGCAGGGTAGGGCAGTGAAAGATCTGACCATAGTTTTGAGATTAGAGAGCAATGTGCAACTTTGGGCTAGAAACCCAACTGAGTGTTGAGAACTCAGTGGGCTGTTCTGCAGCAGCTTGGGAGATAAGGGTATGAGAGCAGCGCAGAAGTTGGAGACCTGACTTGTGAATTTCAGAGAGAAGTTTATAGACTTATCAGGGCCTTTTGCTATTTTGAATTGTGATTCTTTTGTTGTGATTAGCTGGGGCTGAAGAGTCAGCCATGATTAACAAGAGACCAGCGCCACTGAAGTGATACCTTTTCATTACTGGGACAATTGATGCTGATTAGCCTGGGCTAAGAAATTAGCACTGATTAAGAAGAGACCAACATCATTGTGTTGAAGTCATTTGGGGAGTGTTTTCTCAGGGTTAGTACACAGAATCTGTGTTCCAGAAGTAGCTGAGGATGGACCTTGGGCCTGCAGCCAAATTTGGTAGTGTAAGCTTCATGCAGGTGGTTCTGGTTTTAAAGGTCTAACAGGATCATGGAGAGCAGCTGAGGGTTTGCAATGTGTGACACGCAGGGCAGAAGTCCCTGAAGTGAGGCTATGAGAGGCTAGTGGAGAAAGTGCAGTGTAGATACAGCAAGAGATTGTTGACAGAGATTTCTGTTCCACCTGAACCCTCAACCATTCAGTCCCAATGAAACACACAGAGGTCTACATTTATTGTAAACTGGTTTGCCTAGTAGCTCAGGATTCTTATTAATTAATTCTTACATCTTAAATTAGCCCATTGTTCTTGTCTATGTTGGCCATATGGCTCGGTACCTTTCATCAGTGAGGCATTTCATCTTGCTTCCTCTGTGTCTGGGTAATGACGGCAGACTGACTCTTTCCTCTTAGCAGCATTCTCCTGTTCTCGTCACCCCACCTCTACTTCCTGCCTGGTTGTCCCGCCTATACTTCCTGCCTTGGACCTTCCACAAGGCAATGTGCCTTACCCTGTCTGAGGATTGGATGAGGGTGGGGTAGGAGGGTGTGTGGAGGGAATGTGAGGAGGGGAGTGAGTGGGAACTTGGGTTGGTATTTTTTTTAATCTAATAAAAATAGTTTTTCTTGGTAATGAACACATTGTTCATAAAATATATTGTTTTGTTAAAAAGATATAGAACAGGAGAAAATAAAATGTCACACATCACATGAAAGCATAAATGGGGTGGGCAACAAAATAGTTGTTTGTAAAATGCTATAAAGAGACCCAATTCCTGGTCAGGCAATTAAAAATACAAACCACAACAAGCATCAATTAAAGGTAACTATCAGAACACTCTTGTATATGACATTACCTACAAAAGATCATTATGTGATAAAATGATTCACACTCTTTAAAATAGTCATGACTACTGCCAAGAAAGCAATGAACTCAACAGTAACTGAATTATGAGAAAACTTTAAACCTGTAAAGTGCTATGACTGGCTACCCAAATGTGGTCACCGAAGGCAGCTGACAGGGCTCAACCGAGCATTAATAACGAGGAGTCAGACTTTCAGGGGCACTCCATTAGAGCCACTTACAACTAGTACAGAAGACTTGGCAATAGTGTTGACCAGATACCAGGCTATGAGATAACAGCGTGAAACTTGGCCACCTGACTCAACAAGCTCAGGGCACATGACCCGATCATAATCAGCCCGGAAGCCTGAGAAGAAGGGCAGCAGCACAGAAGTAAAGCACCTGCTGTGCACTGAGTCACAAGGTGACGATCAGTAACACAGGAAGAAGAAAAGCTTCAAGGATGAACTAAAGTGGTGCATCACCAAGTAATATAGCTGAGAAACCAAGACACAAATGAACCGAATCCCAAGTGGTTCACTGAAGTGAAAATGCTGAGCAGAAGAAAAATTGAAGTTTCATAGTCACCTAATATAGCTGGCTAGCCAGTTTAAACACACATTGCAATCTTCTAGTAACCAATTTTCTTATTTTCATCACTATTTGAAAACAGATACATATATTTATACAATCTGGAGTAGACCTGAGCAGGATGCAAAAAAAAAAAAAAAAAGAGAGAGAGAGTCATTAATTAAGATGAGGGTTTGCTCCTAAACCTTCTTTTATCCTACTACAGAAAACAAGGCAGTAGATTGGTTTCAGGAGAATAATATTGACATTTTAGCTTTTTTTTTTTAAATCACACATTCTAGTCACTAGGGAGATGGATCAGCAGTTCATAACACTTGTGAAGCTCTTTCTAAGGACCCAGGTTTGGTTCTTAGTACCCACATGATTCCTGTAACAAGCTGTAACTAAAGTTCTAGGAAGCTCAACAGCTTTTGAACTGTGAGAACAACAGACACACATGTAGGCAAAATATTTATACACATACATAAAATAAAAATGAATAAAATCTTAAGAAATAATACTCCTAAACTAGTGAATTTTCAGTGGGATACCCAAATGACTGTGGTTTAAATACAGTCACCATGACTTTCAAAGCATTGTAAATTGACAGTATTCTTTAAAAAAATTATTACTTATTGTTAGAAATATAGCCCTCCTTCCTCTCTTTTGAATTCATAACCAAAACCAATCAAGAGGTAGATTTGTGGAACCCATTCCAAAGGGATGTATCTATAAAACATTCTAACCCTAAGGCTCAGGGCTCATTGTAGAAGAGAGAGTGGAAAGCTTGTAAGAGTCAGAGGATGAGGGAGTTAGCAGTGATACCATATCTCCTAGTGATGTCAGAAGCTACACCCATGACTGCTTAAAAGATCTGAACAAGAACAGCAACAATCGATGTGTTAAAGTGGATGGATGAAAGTCCATGAGGCTTCATCATCACACGAAGAAGAAGCTCAGAAAACTGGGAATTGCAGAGAGTGGGAGAAATATCTTTCTAAGGGAAGAACATGCCAACTGGATGTACGACACCATCAAATGGTCAACCCTGAAAGCATACATACAACAGTATCCAGACTAAGCAGACTGTACTTATATATTAGGAAATATGTATGATATATATATATATATATGTGTGTGTAGCAGCATATAAAGAAACAAATATTATTTAATGTTTAATCAATATTGCCTAAGTAACAATTTCCAGAGAAAAGATAATTTCAGCTAATAAAAAATGTTTGTGATCTGGGAAGCACTTGATATAAAATGATATCAAAAATATCTGATTTGAAATTTTAAGTACAAGTTCTTATGGCTAGTATCATAGCAAGATTTTTAGATTTTTAAGAACAAACGTTCATGGCCTGAAATTTTGATTAATCATGTTAAACTTGTGTTCATTAGGTTAATTTATTATATGTAAATCTGAACCACAATGATCGTCATTATTCCAAACCAAAGTCCAGTTCTTATATGTACATGTTTGACATGTTTACAGACAATTAAAAACAAGAACATGTCTTTCTACAGATCCAGTTACCGTTTAATCTGTGGTGAGAGATTTGACATTGAAATCTGACATTTACAGAAACTTCAAGGTACAATTGGATGGGGAATCAGTTATTAGACTGTTATTAAGCCAAATTATTAAACCTTGAAAGTTTTTTCTTATTGTTTTGCAAAATACGTGTGTAAAGTATTATAAGCGTGAAACATAAAAAATGTGTGTTCACAAGCACTGTCAGTGCCTGACTAGAAATGTCCTTTTAACTCTTTGCTGAAGAACTTTGGACTTTTCATGTGTCTTATAAACCGTGGCTTTCCCTCACATGTATCACCTACCAGCAGGGACTTTGGAAAAGTTGCCAGTAACTGAAATCTGAAGTGGCTAAATATATGTTGATATGCAGGGACCAAGGCCGGATAGTCAGAGATAAACAATCTTTTGATTTTCATAGTTTATATGTAGATTGTTTGTTTTATTTCCTATTTTCTTTTTTATGATGCTTTATGACCACACGATTTGTCACAGATGAAAGGGACACCGGCTTCCAGGAAATTTCTTTAGAACAGTGTATACAGTGTTCACTGCTGTAAAACTCTTAAATGGAATCAAAACAAAACAAAGCACAGCACGAAACTGTGAAGCTGGGACAGAGTAACTCGCTCATTTTCAATTGCAGAGGCGCCTCTCCGCCCTTGCTTCTTTCCAGGAAGCCTGTCTGTGATGGTAGAGCCAGACCCCCAGCACTCTCTGAAGGCATAACCACTGAACTCTTGCCATTAGTCTCTGAGCAGATGTCAGTCGGGAAAGCAGGGCCAGCGCCAGATCAAGTTGCTGCTGCCAGCTCTCGCGAGCTTTGTCAGTAAGAGTTGACTGAATGTCAGAGCTGTGCAATTCACAGGCGGAGCGGCGGCTGCATCCCCCCCTTTCCCCGAAGTGTTACATGGTTGCCACTTTGCAAACTCGTCAGCATCCTTTTCTGCACAGATTCCGGTGAGTTGCTCAGAATTTGCACCCCTGATGAGAAGGTTCCGGTGAAGAACCGGCTGAGACAGAAAGGCGGTTTCTTCAGGGTGTGCGGAGCCCCTTTGCTGCTCCGTTGGGAACAGTCTCTGACTAGCAAGTGGGACAGAGGAGACTGGCTATCAGAGCTTTCTATTAGTCCAGAAACACAAATTCAATTCCTTTCGTCGCAGAGGCTATGCCGAATTTGTTTAACTTTGCTTGAAGAGATACAGCACCTGTGGAGTCTTCCTCCCTTATTTATTTATGCTCCCTCTAAGGAGACTTATTTAGGGCTAGGGTTACTCTTTAATGCAGTATTAATTGCCTTCTTCTTAACAACAAAAGCACTGGTTGGGCAACTTTGACTTATTTCCAATATCATCTCTTTTGCAATGACATGTATTAATTTTCTCTTATTACTTAACTTTTATTACTCAACATTTTGTCCCCTGAAACTTTCGCAACATCAGCTGGCAAGCAGAAAGCAGCAGTTCCTTTAATGTCTAAGAAAATCTATTTCCTAATTTGATCTACAAATAGCTCCTCCTCCATTACTGACCACTTTTGAATGTTTAATCTGGAGTAAAATATTTTATGTTTCCATTGTTTTATTATATATAGGAATACTAAACAAATAGAGAGATTTTGGCTTCTCCTACATTTTTGGAAACCTGACACCATATTTATGCTATCAGATTTTCTTGAGTCATTGACTATAAAATTTATGAGACCAAAAGAAAATTGAAGTATAAACAAAATTATTTTTCAGATTCCTATGGGTTATACATTTTTTTTCATAAGCAGGTATTCTGTATTTGTAAGAATGTATGCCAATTAGCAGGCCCAATGCTTCTCTAACATAGACTATAGACTATAGAATCTTTATAATAAATATGACTACAATTCATTTTGATGAAATCATATTTGAAGTTACCAGGCTTTTAACATGTATCTTAATGATTTGAATCATAACTCTGGAGTTCTCGTAGACAAAAGACCATTGCTATAAGATGCCAAATCTAATGTCTAGCTAGATTTTAAAAGGAATGCTTTATTCTTCTATTTCTGTGTTATATTTGTTGATATAGAATATCCAGCATCTTTAATTTTAGGAAAAAAATCTGAATTATTTTATATTATATTTCATATTATTTTTATAAAACTTATTTCATATTATCTTTATAAAAGATGAGTGAAGAAGATCTTAGAGGGTCATGAATATATTTGCCTCTACAAATTTAGCCTTCAATTTGATTCATTACTTGGTTACAAGTGATAATGCAGTTTACATTTCATCCATGTCTTTGTTTTGACATTTTGCCAAAGTCTGCTTATTCTTACTGAAATCGATTGTCTCTGTTGTTATCAAATCTGGAGGCCACAACATTTGCCTGAAGCCAGGTTTGGCCACACAGGTCCTTATTAAACCAATTGAAAGAACTAAACTAATAATGGAAAGCAGAAAAGGGACATGTATTCATTGTGACCACATTGTGAAAAGGGACAAAGACTTCCCTCCCATAGCCCACAGCCCCTCTTTATGGCCTGAAGTGAGACTGAAGTTTAAACAGTGACCCAGAAATGTGCCCATCCAACACATCCTGGTTAAGGTGTCGTACCTCTTAGCATTGACTTAGCATTTGCCTAGTCTTCAATTTCATACAAATGCAAGGTGTTCCCACAAGTTGTTGGAATTGTATGAATCTCTCTCAAGAATGTATTTTTATAATGTGCGTTTCCTGGGGAAATTCCCATTTCTCTGAGTTCCATTGTTTTGTCAGTATTGTCACTGAAAGAACCAAGTGCCTCTTCACAGTTTCACCTCTGCCAGACCATCACAGCCACAGTTGGTAAATGTCAGTAAATGACAGCAAGCAGAGAAAATGCAGCTTCCAAAGAAAACCCAACAAATCTAATAAGTTAATATTCAGTAGTGTTCATTGTGACTTTGCTCAGGAATAGATCTCGAGTTCTCCGAACTCATCTGTCATCTTCTGTCTACTTGGATGTCTTAGCAGACATCAAAGCTCTGTGGAAGATCATGTTATAGTCCGTTTATGCACAGATTTCCACAAAAATCCACTTTTCTTAGCCTGAAACTAAACAGTGCTGGATTTGGTATAAAGACTTAGCTCTTTTAGTCAAATAGAATTCTCATACTGCTCCTGGATCTTTCTAGTATAATCTTGACTGCACTTTCCCAACACATTTTAAAAATCCCCATTTCCAAATAAGATCCACTAATTTTAGTGATATTTTTAAGACAGGAACACAATACCTAGAGAACAATATTAGGAGCCTTTTAGACCTTTTTGTAACATATTTCCATTATCTTAAACTTTTCGCAAACAAATCATTTATACAGATAAGTGATAATAAATAAATTTTGAAATATAAATCATTTTAAGAATCCACATATTAAGGTATAATGACATTGTATATTTTCTCATAAAAAGTCTGGAGTATTTAATTTCAAATTTAATTTTTTTGAAAAGTGGTGATGTACATTTTACTTTAAATGTTAAAATTTTAAAAAGTTTAGAATTTATAAAATGTTAGCAGTAAAATTTTCTATCAAGTAGCATTTGTTAAACTTGAATTCCTTAGTCAAGGTTCTTTCTTTCCCTCACCTCTATCACCTCTTTACTTTGGCCTCATGAGCAAAGTCTCCTAATCTCTTTAAATATTAACTGCCATTTCAAGGAATGAGCTTATCTACATTAAGATAGCTGTATTCGGTGTGAAAGTTTGTTTCATTTTTTATGATAAGCACATTTCCTTGAGTTTAATATTTTATTTTTAGCAGTTGCCAGTTGTACCACAATATGAGCGACGCAATGGAGTTTTATAGAATTCTAAATTATAATTAAAAACAAGTTAATAAATTAATTTTGAAGGCTTGGTTATTTGTTTCTGTTTTGATTGTGTGATGATGAATAAATATTAAAGCGTGTCTTTAGTATAGAAGTGCAGAGTACCATGGAATAATGTCAGATTATGAAAATAATAATGTTGATTTAAATGTAGCACATTTAGACTGTACCGAATGTGGGAGCATCTGCCTTTTCCTTTTAGCACTGCAGATTTACTGATATGGCATATAACTTCTCCGTGGGTAATTCCAGAGAAAGAACTGAATTGCCATCTTTTACATTATGTGTACTTGTGGTAGTTGTTTCTAATGCTACACTTTATATTACATACAAGAAAGTCTCATAGGTGTCATTATTGAGAATATGATTCTAATTCATATAAACAGCTCTGGAAATTAAAGGTCCATTTGGAGGAAAATGGATATTCAATCACAGGAAGAAAAGCTATATTAATATAGATACCATGGAACCACTGGGTGATAGCAGCTGTTCTAGAATATTACAAAATTAATATATATAT